GCCTGAACTCTGGGCCTGGGCGCTGTCCCTCAGCTCTTCTGCTCAAGGCTAGCACTCTACCACTTGAGCCACAGCACCACTTCCAGCCTTTTTTCTTTTTTTTGCTTATGTGGTGCTGAGGAATCGAACCCAGGGCCTCATGCATGCAAGGCAAGTGCTCTACCACTGAGCCACCTTCCCAGCCCCAGGAAAGTCCATGAGACTCTTATCTCCAATTAGCCACAAGAAAACTGGAAGTGGTGCTATGGCTCAAGGGGTAGAGCGCTCACTGAACTGAAGAGCGCAGGGACAGTGCCAAGCCGAGTTCAAGCCCCACGACAACGACCACCACCACCACCACACACACACACAAAAAAAGTGGTCAATTTTGAGGCAGGATAAAGAGGACTGATTCTCTCTCTCTCCCTCTCTCTCTTTGGCCGGTCATGGGGATTGAACTCGGCCTGGGTGCTGTCCCTGAGCTCTTCAGCTCAAAGCTAGTGCTCTACCGCTTGAGCCACAGCCACACTTCCGGTTTTCTAGTGGTTTATTGAAGAGTCTCACAGACTTTCCTGCCTGGGCTGGCTTTGAACCATGATCCTCAGATCTCAGCCTCCTGAGTAGCATCTTTTTTTCGTTCCTTCTTTCCTTTCCTTCCTTTTTTTTTTTTTTTTAATAAGGCAGCAATGCAATACTCCCAAGTAGCAGGAGAAATTCCAATCCAAAACCAGTCCTACTTTGCTTTGAAGGATGGATCACAATACCAGCACGTTAGTGTAGTCAAGACTGACCCAAGCCACTATAGTCAGAAGAGTAAATTTTGCCTCAGTTGTATACTTTGCAAGCACCCACTTTCTCTCTGGAGTTTTGTGCATTCGTTCTGAGCTAATCCCTGTCTTTGGAATACTTCCTTCACTTGGCTTCCATTCTGTCCTGGTTTTCCTGTCTTTGTCTAAGTTACTCCTCAGTGTTTTTGCTGTTATTTCATGTTCAGCTAGTGACTCAAGCTTCCATTTTCAGCCCCAACCTTTCCTTCAAGCCCCAGACTTAAATATTCAATTGCAAACATGACATTTTCATTTGGTGCCAAAAGAGAGATCTTAAACTTAACGTGACTTAAGCTCCTAATAGCTATCTTCCTTTTTAGTCTAACCACAAGTCTGAGTCTTTCCCTATTTCAGGTGACGACATTTCCATCTTTCTAGTTGTTTAAGAATCTTGGAGTTTTTGTTTTGTTTTGTTTTTGGTTGTGGGTCTTCGACTCAGGGCCTGGGCGCTGTCCCTGAGCTCTTTAGCTCAAGGCTAGCGCTCTACCACTTGAGCCACAGCGCCACTTCCTTGGAGTTTAATATGACTCCTCTCATACTATCATATCCTACATCTAACAGTCATCAAATCTTGGTGACTTACACTCCCAACCTGTCTAACTGCTCTGTAAATTGCTTCCATCATTATTCCTTTCTGATCTCTTTTTAACATGGGACCTAGAAAGATCCTGTCAAAGCCTCAGTTATTCTGGGCACCCCTATAATCCTAGCTACTTAGGAGGCTGAGATCTGAGGATTACAGTTTGAAGCTAGCCCAGGCAGGAAAATCCACCAGACCCTTATCTTCAATTAAACACAAAAAAGCTGGGAGTATAGATGGGATAGCACTCAGGCTCTGAGTTCAGCCCCAGGACTGGCACACAACACAAACAAACATAAAACACCTACATCATAGTGTATCACTTCTTTGCACAAAACATTTCACCTTTTCAATTTTGCATCATTTGCCTAGCATGCTCAGACTTGCAATATTCCTCCCACAAACTGAGTTTTGAGGTTGCAGGTATGCACTATCACACATGGTTCAATGATGCATGACTTCTGAGACTAAATGGTAAAATGTATTATGGTGGGCTCCTTGTTTTCTCTCTTGGATAAGCCAGCTGCCATGTTGTGAGGATATATAAGCAGTCCTATGGGGAGGCCCAGAAGGCTTTAAACCTGAGGCCTTCTACCAATAGGTATGTGTGCAACCACTATGGAAATTAGTTTGGAGGTTCCTTAAAAAAACTAAAAATAGATCTATGTAATGACCCTGCCACACTACTTTCAGCCATATATCCAAAGAAGTATAAATCAACATATAAGATATCGGTGTATCGGCTGGGAAAGTGGCTCAGTGGTAGAGTGCTTGCCTTGCATGCATGAGGCCCTGGGTTCGATTCCTCAGCACCACATAAGCAGAAAAAGCTGGAAGTGGCACTGTGGCTCAAGTGGTAGAGCGCTAGCCTTGAGCTGATGAGCTGAGGGACAGCGCCCAGGCCCAGAGTTCAGGCCCCACGACCGGACCCCCCCAAAAAAATAAAATAAAAATAAAAAAATGTAAGACAAGGGGCTAGGAACATGGCTTAGTGGTAGAGTGCTTGGCTTGCATGCATGAAGCCCTCAGTAGCACATAAACAGAAAAAGCCAGAAGTGGCGCTGTGGCTCAAGTGGTAGCGTGCTAGCCTTGAGCAAAAAGAAGCTCAGGAACGGTGCCCAGGCCCTGAGTTCAAGCCCTAGGACTGGTAAAAATAAAAAATAAATAAATAAAGACAAAACAAAAAAGAGCATACTTTTCATTAAATATTGTTTTAAAGGTAATTTTTAATGAAAACACATTAATATGTAGAAGATTCATTATTACTTGTTAATTAACTGATAATTCATTCTAGGAGTTAAACTCAGGACCTTATACATTCCTAAGCAGATGCTTTACCACTTGAGTCATACCTCCAGTCTTTATAGCTTTTTTTTCAACTATTTATGATTGGGCCTAGACTCTGATCCTTCTATTTATTCTACCTCCTAGTACAATATGGTAGTCATACAACACCATTCCCAGCTTTTTACTGGGTGAGTAGGTGTCTCACTAACCTTTTGTTTGGGTTGACTTGAACAATGGATCCTCCTGGTCTCTACCTCCAGATAAGTTGGGATTAGAGATATGAGCCATTATGTCCAGTAAATT